TTTTCCTTTTTTTTCCCCTCTTTTAATTTTTCCCGATTTTTCCTCTTTATTTTTTTATTTTTATTTTTATTTTATTTTTCCCGTTTTTCCCCCATTTTTTCCCCTTTTAAAATTTTTTTTTTTCCGGATTTTTCCTCCTTTTTTAAAAATTTTGTTCTTTTTTTTTTTTTTCTTTTTTTTTTTTTTTTTTTTTTTTTTTCTCCGGTTTTCTTCCCCCTTTTTTTTTTTCATATTTTTCCCGGGGTTTTCCCCACTTTTTCCCCTTTTTAAATTTTTTTTCCTTTTTTTTCCCCTCTTTTAATTTTTCCCGATTTTTCCTCTTTATTTTTTTATTTTTATTTTTATTTTATTTTTCCCGTTTTTCCCCCATTTTTTCCCCTTTTAAAATTTTTTTTTTTCCGGGTTTTTCCCCCTTTTTTAAAAATTTTTTTTTTTTTTTTTTTTTTCTTTTTTTTTTTTTTTTTTTTTAATTTTCCCCGGTTTCTTTCCCCATTTTTCCCCCCTTTTTAAATTTTTTTTCCCAGATTTTTTCTCCTTTTTAAAATTTTTTTCCCTGTTTTTTTCCCTCTTTTTTTTTTCCCCCGGATTTTTCTTCCTTTTTTTAATTTTTTTCTTTTTTTTCCCTCTTTTTTTCCCCTCTTTTTTAACCCGAATTTTTCCTCTTTTTATTTTTAATTTTTCCCCCTTTTTTTCCCTTTTTTTTTTTTCAACCGGACTTTTCTTCCTTTTTTTAATTTTTTTCTTTTTTTTCCCTCTTTTTTTCCCCTCTTTTTTAACCCGAATTTTTCCTCTTTTTATTTTTAATTTTTCCCCCTTTTTTTCCCTTTTTAAATTTTTTCCCGGATTTCCCCCCTTTTTTTTATATTTTTTTTTTAATTTTTTCCCTTGTTTTTCCCCCATTTCCCCCCTTTTTTTTTTAAATTTTTCCCCGCATTTCCCCCCTGTATTTCCCCCATTTTATTTTTATTTTTCCCCATTTTTTTTCCTTTTCCCCCTCCTTTTTTCCCCTTTTTTTTTTTGTTTTCCCGGATTTTCTCCGGGTTTTCGCCTCTCCCGAGGAATTCCCGAGCCCGGCGCTGAGCAAAGGTCGCGAGAAATCCCAAAAAACAAAAATTCCTCGGGATTTGTCATTAACCCGGGCGGGGGGAGGGGCTGAAATCCCAAAATAAATCCCAAAAAAAAAAAAAAAAAAAAAAAAACCCCCCCAAAAAAAAATTTAAAAAACCAACATCCACTATTTAATTTGGTAGTTAATGAGCTTTTCTTGAAGAAAAGAAAAAAAAAAAAAAAACAAAAAAAAAACAAAATAAGAAATTGTCCTTAAAAAAAAAATCCCGCTGGAAATTCACCCCAAAATGTAAAAAAATCCAGTTAAAATTTCCAAAAAAAATCCCAAAAAATCCCTCAAAAAGTCCCCCAAAATTGAAAAAAAACTCCAAAAAAATCCCCACAAAAAATCCCAAAAATCCTCTCAAAAATTCTCCCCAAAAATCCTCCCAAAATCCCGCCCAACACACCAAAAAAATCCCAAAAAATCCCCCCCAAAATCCCCCAAAATTTATAAAAATTCCCCCCAAAATTTAGGAAAAATCCCCCCAAAATTTAGGAAAAATCCCCCCAAAATTCCCCAAAAATTAAAAAAAAATTCTCTAAAATATTCCCAAAAATTTCTCAAAAATCCCCCCAAAAAATCCTCACAAAAATCCTTCCACATCCCCAAAAAA